GTGAACCATTGACATTTTTTAAGATATAAGCTCATCCCGATGTTACACTCATGAAGACCTTCCATTTGAGTACCCACATCAATTTTTCATATATTTATATATATTATATATATGCACATATGAAAAATATATCAAAATGCATGTGGGTACTCAAATGAAAGCTCTTCATGAATGTAACATCAGGATAAGTTTATATCTTTAAAAATGTCAATATTTAAGAAAGTACAGTGCAATTCAACATAATTAAGAAACGGCCTTGTATCTTGCGAACTATTGAAATTTTTAAAGATATTAGCTTATCCCGATGTTACACTCATCAAGACCTTTCATTTGAGTACTCACATCAATTTTTCATATATTTATATATATTTTATATATGTATATATGAAATATATATGAAAATGCATGTGGGTACTCAAACGAAAGCTCTTGATGAGTGTAACATCGGGATGAGCTTATATCTTTAAAAAGATCAACAGTTAAGAAAGTACTGTGCAATTTTACAAAAGTCATTATTTTATTTATTTATAGTTCACAAGTAACGGTAGTCACATCGTGACTGTAAAGTTGCTAGTTTTAAAATTTATTTTATTTCTTTTCTTATTTTTTTTTTTTGCTAAAAAACATAGTCGTCATTATATGAATGGATGCATTTCACGTGAACAGATGACCCCCTGTAGACATTGGGAGTTTACAAGGGGATTGAGCGGGCTAAGCTTGTTAAGTTGCAACAACCCCCTTAGATCTATGGATCCGTTTATGTACATATACCTCTATCTATATCTATATCTGGTAGTACTTTGAAACATACACCAGTGATATTTTTATATTCTTTTTTTGTACATTCGGTGGGGTGGAGTGCAAACGTATTAGTTCTCTCTGGTTATGTTTATCCACTGACGGAGGATTTGTTGACGTGAGTCTCAACATAAGATGGTCGACGTCACTCAACCATTCGAGTGAGGATAACAATGTTTACTTCCACCACCGAATGACTTAACCGTGACTTAACAGCTTGATTCAATCTGTCTTTTTAGTGTTTAGATGTTAAATGTCTTTTAAAGTTTACAATCGTTTAGTCTCTCTTTGTATTTATTTATTTACTTATTTTTTGTTTATTCTCTTATATTTATTGTAGGATATTCATTTTGGTGAAAAATTGTCAAGGGAGTGGTCGGATGGTGCCGAGATTCCAATAAAAGAAGGAGAACTAAGTGGACCTAAAGGACTGGCAGGACAGCTGATGAGAAAACACGACAGCGAAGCTGGTAGACGAGCTGTACGTTCACGGATGCAACGTGTCTGCAAATGTCACGGTATAATATAATAATCTTTATTAATTGCGTGCTAAATCTAATAACACTTTCCTCCGTGGTATATACTAAGTCTTGAGATTAATTGTTTCCTCTTTAAATAATCATTCTTTTAAGCTATATTATTAAGAGAACAAGAAAAGTTTTGTTTCAAGGATAGTCATATGATAAAAATCGGTTTTTTTTAGTCAAATTTGGTGTCATTGCAAAGGTCTTTACTTGAATTTTTGCCTTTTCAAGGTTTCATATCATTCTCACCGATAGTCAATTAATTATAATAAGTATTTAGGCTGAATGCAAAAATGCTCTGTTTCTAAATACACAAATAAGAAATGACCTTGTATTTTGTGAATTATTGACATTTTTAAAGATATATATAAGCTCATCCCGATGTTACACTCATTAAGAGCTTTCATTTGAGTATCCACATGCATTTTTGATATATTTTTCATATATACATATATATAATATATATAAATATATGAAAAATTGATGTGGGTACTCAAATGAAAGGTCTCGATGAGTGTAACATCGAGATGAGCTTATATCTTTAAAAATGTCAATAATTAATAACTGATATTGCTATCTTGTCAACGAATGATATTTTTAAAGATATAAGCTCATTCCGGCATTACACTCATTGAGACCTTTCATTTGAGTATCCACATCAATTTTTCATATATTTCATATATTTATATATATTATCTACATAAATGTATATATCAACAATATATCAAAAATGCATGTGGGTACTCAAATGAAAGGTCTCGATGAGTGTAACACCGGGATAAGCTTATATCTTTAAAAATATCAATAATTATGAAATTATCTTGTATCTCATGAACTATTGACATTTCTAAAGATATAAGCTCATCCCGATATTACACCCATCGAGACCTTTCATTTGAGTACCCACATCAATGTTTCATATATTTATATATATTTCACAAATACCATATATGTAAAATATATAACAAATGCCATGTGGGTACTTAAATGAAAGGTCTCGATGAGCGTTACATCAGGATGTGCTTATATCTTTAAAAATATCAATAATTAAGAAATGACCTTGTATCTCGTGAACTATTGACATTTTTAAAGATATAAGCTCATCTCGACATTACACTCATCGAGACCTTTCATTTGAGTACCCACATCAATTTTTCATATATTTATATATATTATATATATGTATATACGAAAAATATATAAAAAACGCATGTGGGTACTCAAATGAAAGCTCTTGATGAGCGTAACATCGGGATGAGCTTATATCTTTAAAAACGTCAATAGTTAAGAAAATACAGTGCAATATAACAAAAGTCATTATTTAATAAAGCAAAATTTCATTTATTTATAAGTCATAAATTACAGCAGTCACGTAGTGACTGCAAGGCTGCTAGTTTACTAATTATTAGTATTATTTTCTGTTATACATCAGGGATGTCAGGATCTTGCAGTGTACGAGTTTGTTGGCGAAGGCTTCCAGCATTTCGTGGTGCAGGTTCAGCTCTTGCGGCACTTCACGAGGGTGCTGCATTAGTACGTTTGGTACAAAGAGGTGAAAGACGACCAGCAAGACTCAGACCCGCTAGACCAGATCTGAAGCGACCAAATAAAACAGATTTAGTCTACTTAGAAGACAGTCCTGACTACTGCGAGCGAAATTTAACGTAAGTATTATTTTACAATTTTTTTTTTTTTTTTTTTTTAAACATAAAAGTAAAAAAGAGAAAGTGAATTTAAATCGTTAAATGAATTTATGAGTTATAATATATTAATAATACTGTTACATTTTTAGACTTGGTATTCCTGGTACCCGAGGTCGAATATGCAATCGTACATCTCTCGGACTTGACGGCTGTCGACTTCTCTGCTGTGGCCGAGGTTATCAAACTCGAGTACGCGACGTCACGGAGAAGTGCAAATGTAGATTTGTATGGTGTTGTCGGGTACAGTGTGAGCTTTGTCGACACACGCGTGAGGAACACGTTTGTAATTGAGCATTCCCTCCTCATCATTCAATTGCAATTAAATTATTAGTCCACAGCGTTAAACCACGCATTAACAAAGTGATAAAAGAGATAGGCAGATTATTATATCGTTTAACTAGTTCTGTCTCTTATTGGATTCTCATCGGTTGTATTTATTTTTATGCCGATGCTCTTTTTTCTAATTATGTATTTACAGCCTCGAGATGGAATCTCGATTTAGCCAAAATAAAATAAGACTCCTCGTCCGACGTCAGAATATTTAAAATAATATTAATTAAAAAAAAGAAAAAAAAAACAAAAAAATTTCAAATATCTGCCAATGAATGAATGTAAATATCATAATCATTTTTTAATCTTATATCAGTTACTCATGTGTATATATATATTTATAGTTTATAAGAAGTTTTACGGTTACTTAAAGCGATTCTCGAAGAATTTCATTGGGTACTCGCTCGCTTAATCAATTCTTTGATATTCTCTACAAATAATTTTTAATTCTTCGTCCACATTTTTTAAAAATATATGTAATTATTTTATTTGTATTATTTTATATTTTCAATAATATTAACGTACAATTGTGGACATTATTTTTAGTATTTTTTTAATATTACTGGAAAATGTTCTATTATTATTAATTATTAATTTCTAATAGCTTTATTTAAATTAAGTAAAAATTCTTTCAATCAATTTAATAATTTCTTGAGCTTAAAATATATTTTTGAAAATTTTCAAAAACATAAATTCTTGTTATCGGTTAATTTTACACAAATTTTTGTTTTTTGCTATTTTATAAATGACTAAATTAATATTTGGTGAAATTTCCATTTCGCTAATTTCATTTTAAGGGAAGAAAAACGTTTCCACGCTGATTTTTTATTAATTTTTTTAAGGTATGAAAATTAATGTTATTTATTGAAACTATCAGGTTATTTTATACATATATTTATATTTTTCCATATTTTACGACAATATAACTTAAAAAGTAGCGGAGCTATCAGCTGATACACATCGTTAGTTGTCTTCCGACTTAGCAGTTGGTGTGCACTATGCAAGCCACAATTTTTATCTGAAATCAATGGCACAGAAAAATTACTTTTCTTTATACAATTACGCTGAATATCAACCTCCATCATAAGCGATATTTTTATTTAAACTATTTTTTTTTTAATAAACAATGTATGAAAAAATGGTAAAAAATCACGACTTAATTTCACAGCCCTCTAAAAAATGCAAATTTTTACTTTTTTTTTTTGGAATTGAGGTTCATATAGAAGATACACATATAAAAAAAAGTAATTTTTCTGTGCCAGTGATTTCAGATAAAAATTGTGGCTTCCATACTGCACACCAACTGCTAAGTCGGATGACAACCTACGATGTGTATCAGCTGATATCTCCGCTATTTGTTAAGTTATATTGTTGTTTAATACGATAAAATACTCATAAATATATCTATAAAATAACCTGATAGTTTGATTAAATAATATTAATTTTTTATACCTTAAAAAAATTAATGAAAATCAGCATGAAAACGGCCTTCTACACGTATTTCCCCCCTTAAATATAAATCGTCCTTGACAGGACTATGGGTACATACAAATAAATTGTACTCTAAAGTCAAACTTTACCTCATCCTATTTTCGATCCACCGGTAGCAATTTTAGTGGCCTAAAAATTAATGGGTAAATTATACTACAGCATACAGTACTGCCAAATCATATATGCGTAGAATATGAAACTTTAAATAAATGTTTCATTTTATTAAATTTTTAATAACATAACAATATTGTAAAGGCCTTTTGGATAGATTTATCAATTGATTTTTCATTTTTTAAATCAGTGTGCAAGTTAGCTAAACTGAAAATTTTAGAATTTTGTCTTTTCAATTTTGTATTCTTAATAAATTTATGTCTATAAAATAACTTGATAGTTTCAATAAATAATAATTTTTAACAAACAGCTATTTTCCAGTAATATTAAAAAACATTTAAATTAATGTCGACGATTGTAGATAATGGTGATTTATATAGTAATAAGTAACAAGGCTAGATAAATCGTAAAGTATCCTAAAAGCCTAAAATATAATATAGAATAAAAATAATAAATTAATTAATAATTATCTGCGAGCGAGAACTCGCTGCAATGACGATATACAAAACGCAGTATTGACAAATTGTAATTTATTTATACATATAAATATAAATATATAATAATAACAACACATTAGCTTATTTGAATGTGTCAAATATTTCTTAGTAAAAGCAAAGCTCTAGGCTACGGTATTTTTAGCATGAAATATTCGTATGTATATGTGTTTCCTGTATTATTAAGTATATTTATAAATACATATAAAAATTGTCCGTGTATTTATGAATTTATCACTGTATAATTCATTTAAATGTTTTCACATACTTTTATATTTATAACCACATATCAAAATTATCGACTATGTTTTTTTACTTTTATTACTTTAAATTTTTTACTGTTTTTACTTTGATAATACCAAGTCAGTGCGGTAGTTGCGACAAATAAAGCACCAACTATAATACCAATAATTAATCCATATAAAAAATTAATATCCTCAGAAAATGTATTTACATTAATGTCTCTTCCAATTGGCCAATAATTAATATCAATTTCTTTATGTCTGGCGGCATAACTCAGCGAAAAAATTAATCTGTCAGACGCTGGTGCTAATCTATCTCTTATTGCCAGTGATATTTTTCTTGCCGTTTCCCGATATTTTATATTTTCATGAATTTCATTTAATATTTTATTAACATTATCTATTGTATAGTCATTATTTAATGTAACACTTATTCCTAATTTAACAGCACGTAAATTATTTTCTTTTTCTTCAGAATTTCTTGGGAAACATATTAAAGGCGTACCATGAAATGCCGCCTCTAAAAATTCAGTGTCTGCACAATGACTAAGTAATAATCGTGTTCTTGAATATCCTAAAAAAATTAATAATTAATATTTATTACAATAAAGAAAACAATATTTAAAAAAACAATTATGTATATATATTACTTATTAATTTATTATTTATTTAAATATTTATATTTATAAATTTAATTAATTAATAAATACCTATGATATCTTGACGATCAACATCACCATGAATAAATATATTTTTTCCATTAGTTTTTTTAACGATTTTGTTCTTCCATAAGATTGCTTGACCTTGGGGAATCTGTTGACCTAAGTGCTCTATCATGGTTATATATTCGGAGTCTAGAGTCGCGACTACAGTTCCTTGTTTAAACTCTATTAATTCTTTTTGGAGAACACCGGGTAATGGCTGTACGCCTCTGCAGTGGTGACATCCGACCTAAAATATAATCAAATTATCAATCACTAATATTCACCTTCGTAATAATTGATACTAGCAACCTGGAAGTCACTATGTGACTGCCGTGACTTGTGAAACATAAATAAATAAAATTTTGCTTTATTAAATAGTAACTTTTGTTAAATTGCACTGTACTTTTTTTACTATTGACATTTTTAAAGATATAAGCTCATCCCGATGTTACACTCATCAAGAGCTTTCATTTGAGTACCCACATGCATTTTCATATATATATATATATATAATATATATAAATATATGAAAAATTAATGTGGGTACTCAAATAAAAGGTCTCGATGAGTGTAATGTCGGGATGAGCTTATATCTTTAAAAATGTCAGTAGCTCACGACATGCAAGGCCATTTCTTAATTATTGATATTTTCAAAGATGTAATCTCATCCTGATGTTACACTCATCAAGAGCTTTCATTTAA